TAATCACATTATTTAATTTATAATTAATTCTCAATTAATTATTCTCGACTGCTTAACTTTAGAATTCCGTAATTTTAAAATTCTCATTTTGCCCTTTGTGTCTAGTAGAATTACTAGGACGACGTGGGGACTAATGGACCTATAATCCCGAGCTCCAATAAAATTAATAATTAATTAAACACTTTAATTAATTAATTAATTCTATTAATTCCAATAGTTACTCAACTATAAACTTGGAATTGCACTCTCGAAATTATAGACATAAATTACTTCTAAACCGTGAAGTGTTCATTTGATATAGTCACTGCATATAGATCAACCTCCATAAAGAATTCATAATTAGAGCTAGGTAAAATCCGTTAACCTCTCTAATTATATCTTCATCATTGAGTACCATTGATTCTCTAATGGATGGTGATTCATAAAACACATTCATGAACCAGAGCGCTTTACCAATCCAAGTACCGAATCAACACTCAAGAGAATTATTTATCTGCTTCTTTCTCAAGAAGGAATGGATTCCATCTCATGTAATAACATTCACGGCTACCTACTTCATCATGTTTCCAAAATACAAGGAATAAGATTCAGGGTATTGGAATCCGTACTGAGTAAATCAAAAGACACAAATTCATAAATAGGAGTATGCTAAGAACTCAAGATTTATCACGCCCCGAAGCTGGGGTTAGTGACGTGAAGGCTCGTTTAGGAGTTAAACGTGATTAGGAGAGTAATTAAACATTTATGATCATAATAATCAAAATCGAAAGTAAAATGTTTAAAGAAATCTCCAAACGAGCCCCACATTTAGCCGAAAATAAATTACAAGAAAGTTACGGGACCTACCCCACTTTCTGAATCATTCAGGGCTTCACCCACAGAATATGTAGTATTGTACATACATGAACATGTAAATAACATTACAGACATCAACCACAGTCTAGAAATCCAAAGTTCAGAGTTTACAGAATTTACAATTCTTACATTTGTACACCAGGACGATGAACACAATCCTCTCTTAATCGGATGGTAGTAACTAACTTAGCTACTCCGCATTGCTCCTAGAGTCACCTGGGAAGGGTTAATATTTATAAAACAGATAAAACGTGAGCGCAAGGCCCAATAGAATGTAATTTTTAAATAAGCCTTGTAAACAAGTAAATAAATGAATAAACAAGTAAATTGATGAATAAATAAATAAAAGTAGACATTCAGTTCCAACACAATAGCCGGAACCTCACATCCTTTTTTTGAAAGGAATATAAACTGAAAACCTCTATATTACAGGCATCAGTAAGTCATTTATACTATGATAAATTACTTACACAACGACAAGTACAAGCCTTATCACCCCAGGCCAGGTTTCGGGTTCTGCCCCCAAGGATGCACTCTCCACATCCTATCTAGGCCATCAGCCGGTTTACTGATTCGCAAGATCTCTTGTCTTAAGGAATCATTCATTAAAATTTATGAAACAGTTCATTATAATTCCTATAGCTAAAATCAAGCTATTGTTATTTTTAACATGCTTTTCTTTTGCAAACATGCATTTTCTTTAAAACATTTGCAAGGCTAAAATGCTTTTAAAACAGGCTATCAAAGAAAGGGGTAAGCAATCCTACCTCTCAAGTATCAAACCTGTGGCTAGCGTTACTCTATTCCGGCTTTCGCTTCCTCAAGCCCCTCAATCCGAGTCCTCAGTTAGCACTGATACAAAACAACACTTTAGGATCCGATCCTCATTCCTAAATCAATTTCAATCTCAATTTTATCCTTTGATTTCCTATTAGTGTGCCTTAATCAAATTTTAAGTTTCATAAATCATTTCATGTTTCAAATCATCATTCCAAGGTTTTTAATTCTAAAACATGAATTATAGATGCTAATCCATTCACTTTAGGTCCCAAAATGAAGCTAATTTGGGTTCTCCTCAAAAACTGAGGTCAAAATAGCATTTTCAGGCAAAACAAGGTCAAACCCCGTGTACACTGGTCAACCGGTGACAGGACAGTGCAACACCACCGGTTGACCAGTGGTGTGCAATTTGGTCGACCGCACAGGTCGACCTGATGGAGTGTAATCCGGTGGACTGCATAGGTCGACCGGTGAGATCAGGGCAGGATGGCCAACATGGCCGATCCAAAGAAAATCAGTGCAAAACCTGCAATTTCAAGCTCAAATCTAAAATATTTCAAGGGGAAATCACTCAATCTAGGTTCCAAATGACAAATACAGTCCAAAGAACTAAAAATCTCAAATTTCTACTATGATTTTACCCAAAGTCCATGAAAATCCATTTTGAACCAAAATAGGTTTTCTAATCCAAAAAATTCATGATTCAAGAGAAGTTTTTCAGAAATCTTACCTCAAATCCTTCTCTTGACGTTGAAAACTTCTTTAAATCCTTCTTTGGTTCAAGATCTGGTTGATTTGAAGCAAAAAATGGGAGAGAGAGAGTGAGGGAACGAGAGTGAGAGAGAGTGAGAGTGAGCAATGCACGGGAAAGAAAAGAAAAGAAAAGAAGGAAAAAGGAAAAATGAAAGAAAAAGGAACAAGAAAAGAAAAAGAAAAGACATGTGTCCAACATTTAAAATGACAGTCCAGAAAATGTGTCTACACACACTTCTGGGGTAAAAATATAAATACTAAAAATATTTAAATTCCTTAGAATCATTTAAATATATAGTTCAGAAACATTTACTAAACAATAATTAAATCAAGATTAGGCATACTAATAAATCTTAATTACCTTAATTAATCTCGTTTAATTCCTTGGGGTGTTACAGGATTAAGATCATTCTATATATGACCATCAATAGACTCAATTAAAATTTTTATACTTAACATAAATTATTAAAAATTCATATTGTGTTTTTGTCCCTGATCCACATAATCTTATTATGCGTAATATACTCATTCAATATCTCGCCATATTAATACTGTGGATAACACCGTTTCATTCTAAATGGGAATGACATGTATTAGTAATGTTTTAATTAAGGATTCTGAACTTTAATTAAATTTATTAGAAATTAATGTTAGGTGCATAGCAGTTTCAGGAAAAAAAAACTGACTTTAATTAAATTTATTAGAAATTAATGTTAGGTGCATAGCAGTTTCAGAAAAAAAAACCTCCAGCCACTGTTTTCAGCCAAACGAGGCCCTTAGGGGCTGAATTTTAGCTTTCTCCAAAAAATGACAATTTTAGATCTCGACGAGAAGAAGAATTATCGCGAAGAACAGATTTTTAAAATCTGACTCTAAGATGTAGTAAAACATAGATTTAAGAAATTGCACAGTTTTAACTAAACGAAACTAACACAGTGTTGGTTTTCAACAAAAGGTTATCAAAGAACCCGGGATGTGATTTCAGTAAAATACTATGGTGTTAGACCTCATTTTAACGGAATATTCGTGAAGAAAGTTTTCAAGAAAAAATGGTTTCTTTTAAAAACTTAATAGTTTATCGAGCAAATCATTTCGGCGAGCACCTACGAGCCCAATACGTTAGGTCCTTAGAATAACAAAGATTAGATGTGGGCCCAACGCCCGCATTAATTCAAGAGACCCCGTTTGAGTGTAAATTTCAATGGCCTAAGGGTTAGAACGCCGTGAATAAGTTTCTAGGCTGAATTAGGCCTTAAGATCATAACAAGTCCAATGAGGTAAATTATGGAGAATAAGTTACTAGAGTGGGTAGTTGATTTTCAATCTAGGCAAGTGGATATTAAGGGCAATTAAGGAAAATAAGATTTTGAGGATTTAATAAATTGATCCATATTGTAGATTATCCTTCAGTAAAGGAGATGGATACATGCCTTAAGGAAAGGGTTATATTTCCTTCATAAGCTGCTAAAATAAAATAACAAACGACAGTTAATCTCACACTCTCAATGGGTGTTCATTTTCAGAAGTAAGCAAGTAAGAGAATAGGCTATTTGGCGAAAAGTGGATTCCAGCACTGTAAAATCTGGTAAGTAGGAATCTCGCCTACAGTATGAATAGATTTTAAAGAAAAAGTTACACATGTTATGTATGCATGTTTATGCTTTATGTATTGTATGCGATGTCATGTCATACTGCATACACCTTAATAAGTCAAGAGGAACTTATAAGAATAATCTCAGTTGAGTGTCGTACCAGCTTATGAGAGGGTGGTAACTCAGGCTCCGGAAGGGAGAAGAAAAAAAAATTATAGGCATTCAATTCAGTTATAATCACGGTGTCATTGGGAACCTTGCAAACCCTCACGTCCCGATGATTGCGCGCAAGTGGTACGAGCACTCGGGCCCATAAGTAAGAAAGATAAGATAAGATCATAAGAATTTAACAAGACATGATCATAATTAAGATAATTGGCTCATGCATATTTATTCATGTGAACTTATAGGTATTTTGCGAGAGATAGTTCCTATTTGCTAAGCGAAAACTTATCATAGAATATTTATATTGTAGGTAAGCAACTTGCACATAATACTTGATGGACTGACGGTGAATGGAAGAACGATGTGGAGATCAGGGAATGGATACCGCTCGTAAATATTTTCGCAATCAGTTTTATGTTATAAATAGTTTTGCTAATTATGTGATTCTAAAACTATATATTAAATGGTTTTGTGGATTATGACTGTAAGTAAGCAAGACTTAAGGATTAAGTATATACATATAGATAAATCTATATGTTTTGAGAAACAAATATGTTAAGGTTGAATATTTTAATCAAGAAAGCAATTCATAACTTATGTTAACTATAAGATTTAAAATAAATGTTCTGTAAATTTTAGGAAATTTCAGTAAGTGCAAGTTAAATTCTCAATTACAGTGACGGCTGCTAAGGAGGGTCGTCACACTAACGGCTAACGGCTAATAGCAACAGAGTAGCCACACTTATTAAGAATGGAAATAACATCTTCTCGACCTATTCTAATGGAAATAATAACTTCTTGACCTATGCTTAAGCTGGTGACATGATTCCACACCTTAGACCACATCCTTTACTGCTAATAATCCTCCGAAACTTCTTCACTCCTTGCATGGCCCATTGTTCCTGGCCCATCCTTGACTACCTGCACGGCCCATGCCCAATGGCACTTAACTAAAATACGTTGAATTTCTCAAGGGCGTGCTCTGACATCTTCTTGGCTTATCAGAAAGTATATTATATGAAATTAATTTCCCATAGATCAGAATTTAAACGAACAATAAACATTAATACATTTAAGTTTCGTACAGAATATGAGTGGTGACTATATCTGCCAAACCAACTTTTGCATATTCAACATAGAAAGAATCCTATAGCTGCCAACCCGAAAATATTCCAAATATGTAGGAAATATAAAACTGGCTTGGAAGTTGGCCACAGTGAGGATTATTTCAATACGCGGGAATAGGCTACAAGCTCTCTTCATCCTTTGCTACTGACTAATTCTAGTGCCATTACCTTTGTTCTTTCACTGCAATTATGGAAGATTAACGTTTGGGAACCTTACTCTTATAAGAACATGATTTGGCCAAAAGCTCAACCACTTGGCAATCTCCTCCTGATCCGAAAGCTTTCTAATTCCGCCGTAAAATCCATCGATTTCGTTCCCTTGTCTTGGATGGTACTTCCGACTTGTCGTAGTACGTCTCCATCTTGAGGTTGGATGGTATTGGTTAAACTCCACTACTATTGTATCTGTTAGCAAAGACATTATCATGAGGTAACTAAACACACAAAAATTTAAGAAACAATAAATATATAAGAATAGAGACTGCAAGAAATTTATGGTGTAATTAGGAAGAGAAGAGAAAACTTTAGGCAAAAAGGAAACTTAATGTTAGGTGCATAACAAAAAGAACTTGTCTATATATCTTACCATTTTCTTTTTGAAAGGGTATATATATCTTACCATTTTCATGACAAAGGCAGTGATTCTGATTCTTATCACATGGCTCCAAGTGACCAATTAGGGCATACCACCAAGCTACAATGAAATTTTTAGAAATGATATATGAGAGACCTGATACCATTTAAAGTCAAGATCAATTTTTAATATAAAGTTCAGGGTGTTCTGAGATTAAACCGTAAGGCAAATCTGTGCGACTTTTCCACTGGATTTCAATATGGTCACCGGGTTTCAAGTCATGTAAACAATCAGACACATGAGGCACAAATGGATCTAGGGGAACGCCAACTGGTGGCGCTCGTACCCGATCCCACCCTATATTTTCCTCTCCCGTCCCCCATCCCTGAGAAGTATACCTGCAATTTATATGGAATTATATCGGAAAGTATCACTATATAAGAAAGGTCCTACTTAATTAAAGGTAAAGTAATCAAATGTGGGAAGAGTGAAGTGAACATGGGTTGAATCACAAAAATCTCCATGCCACCATTTTTATTGCGCATTAGATGTTGTTTTATCGTATTTGTGTCGTCTAATCTATCATTTTGTGATAGTATGTCAACATGGATCGCGCTTGGTAGGCCGACACGAAGCATGAAAATCACCCGACGATAATGTAGTGGGCTATGCTACGCTGAGGTTTGAGGTGTGTGGTATGAACATGTCGCAACAAGACAAGATAACATCTTACCCTATTTTTGGTTCAGCTATTTGAACTAAAGAATTCAATTCGAATTGCCCCTAAAGGTTCAAATTAATGTTTAGTCTAGAAACAAAGAGGGGCCTTTCAGACCATCAACCACAATTCAAATTGTTGATTTTAGAATTCAACACACCCCTAAATTCAACAATATGAATTGTTATGAACAATTCAAATACAATTACGTTTTGTTTTATTCTTTCTCTTCAACTCCAAACTTAAGAATATAATAACTTCTTTATTTTAACTCCAATTTAGATATTTATTTTCTCTTTATGTGTTCATAATAAAGAGAGTAAAAAATTTCAATCCATATTTATATACGCCATTTACAATGAGATTTTATAAGAGTTGTTGAAAACACAATTTTGTTTTATTCCTCATTCAATGTATAATTTATTTGTGAATCCAAGCACCAATTCGAATGCCATTTAAAGTATTATAATTCAAATTATACAGTTCAAACTAAAAAGATTCAAATAAGAACAATTTGAATCTGTGAACCAAACATGTCATAAGTTATTAACTTTGGTGTCTAGATAATGCTTTAATATAGTATGATCATCAAAAACATGTTGACAAACATACAACATAAGGAAAAAGCAAACTATAGGCATGCAGAAAAATATCCTATGCCATGGGCAGGTATTTTGAATCTTGTGTCAATATTCGGTCTGAAACTTTGTGACAAGCCGATAAAGATGACATAAAAACACTGCTGGACATAAAAAATACTTTTATGTCCACTGGGGATACTTACCTTTAATTTGTTCCTTGAATTATAGGTTTATTCAAAATGGTTTTCATATCATCAAATATTGTATGCGGTCATATTAGATTTTAAACGTTAATTCATACCGTTTCACGGTCAAAAAAAGATTGTTACCTCAAAAATGCCCAAACTACACTCAAGGAAAAAAAATTAAAACAAAAAACTCTAAAACAATGAAAAAAAAAAAAAACCTTTAATTTATTAGTTTTTTTAAGTTTTCCATTTTATATTTTTTCAATCTTTTTTCTTTCTTGTACTTAAAGGTAGTTTGGGCGTTGACCAGAAAGAAGGTATGAACTTGTATATTAAATTTAATCTAAATGTATACATTTAATAATATAAAAAAATAAGGTAAATTTTTGAGTAACCCAAACTACATCATATGTACGTTTTAGTTAGATCACAATACAAAAGAATTAGATCACTCATCCAAGTATTTTTTATGAAGAACCTTGCACTTATACCTTGCACGAAATGTATTAGTCCGGGAGTCATAACTGATCTGAGCATCATAACATAACAGCATAACTCCTGTATAACCATTCTGCACCAATAGACAGAAAGGCTTTCATCACCGACATAAAGAAGGAAGTTGTACACAATTTCTTGTTTAAACAATATAAGAATAATTAATTTGGTAAGCTTAGAAAGTACTTGTTGAAAAATATTACCTGTCTATAGTAGATTTGGGCTGGGAACCAAAACTTGCCACTCTCAAGAGCAAAATAGAAAGCCATCACTGAATCAACTGGTAAAGTAGTTCGCACCTTGGAACTTTTTTCTGGTTTTATCCCAATCCACGAAAGGCGACGTGAATTTCGAAGAGACTCGAGCACACCCTTCTCCTTTTTCTGTTTGGAGAGGCTGGATTGTCCAATTTTTGAGGCCACATTAGATCGCCATTCTCGGTAAGCAGCATCACCTATCACTTTACCCCATTTCTGCTGCAAATGTCTTTCCCATAAATGGTCACTACTACACATTTCTCTCAAAACAGAACAAACTCGCACCATGCTGCACAAGTCAGCAGGCGAAAGCCGCTCAAAAATGCACTCCAAACCCAACTTAGGCAAATCTAAGAGGGAAAACATATTCTCTTTCTCCTTTAGTTTTACTTTCTCAACTCTTGAACAAGAGGCCATTCTTTTCAATGAAAAGGTCATGGGGAACTTGGACCCCAAAAAAATTCACTAGAAAAAATAATTGAACCATTTACATGATAGTTTAATTTTGAGTAACGTGAATTTATTTGTTAGTATCATTTGTCATCACATATAAAAGACAAGAACAGCCGGAGAGTTTGGCTTGTTCCAGTATCAACGATGCTTCCAGTCCTTTTCATTGTGTTTTTCTCTCCATCATGCTATGCAGATAATATTAATTATCTTTATAAATTATCATTTCTATAGTTGCTTATTGTGAAAGATAATATAAAAAGAAATGTTGAATGTGTTTTTCTAATAAAGACAGAATAAATGTACTATGCATCTTGATTTTACCAAAATACAAGGGCATTGGAAGAAACGAAACTGATAGAGATGTTTAACAAAACATAATTGTATAAATAAAATTTTAAATGTGTGAATATATTTGCTGTCAACACAAGTCATGCTAATAATTTCTTAGAAATTTCCGTCCCTACCTCTTTTCAATACCAAATAGGACTATGTAGTAAAACCTCTATAAAATAATTGAAAGATCCGTTTTTAAAAATTTACGAAATATAAATTATTTAACCAGATTAAATAATTACTGCAAGCAGTAAATAAATAGTACTCAGAGAGTTTTTACAAGGTTCGGTAAGAATCTACATCTATGAGATCACGCCCAGACATTGAACAATCCACTAAGTCTTAGGACTTATATAAATTTATAAAGACTCCCTCTTTTTGAACAATCCATAGGGAATTAACTTAATGGTCTTATTCAGTTAGCACTACTTGTTTTTAATGTCTACTTACTTAAACTCCCTTCAAATCATAAACCATCCTCTCCTGAAGACACTCTAGATCTTCTTCTCCCGAAAATTGATGATTGGTGGAAATCCCTTCAACACTCTAAATCTTCTTCTCCCGAAAACTACAAATTCTTCTCCTGAAGTATGTTACATGTGGACCTCTCAGGCTAATGCACCAGAAAACTATCAATTTCATCAGATTTAAGACTTACATAGAGCAATCCGTATAGACTCGAATTTCACAAAGTCGAATAGTAAATTCAAGTAGAACTCAAATTTATCTCTAATTAAACATGTAATTATCTTCTTTTTATTTTTCTGCTCTACCAGATAAAATATAATCTTCAAATCATTTTAGCTCATGCATATCGCTGAAACTTATCTGATAGAATCTTCTCTTAAAATTTAAATATGCGTTTAACTTTTTATTTGCCCAACAAGTAAGCAGAATTGCAGAATATTTTCTTCAATATTGTTGCCACCAACCAACTAAAAATCTTAACAACAATATTGTTGGGATTAAAAAAATATTAGTTTTGTGAGATTATTTATTCATCAATACATGAATAATTTATTAATTTATCAGTAAATGAATATTTGTTAATAAGAGCGCCTTTGTAATTTAATAACTTGCACCATCTTATTACTGGTATTATTCTTTTGACCAAATTTATGTACGAGTTATAAATAAAAAAAAAATAGTGAGTTTAGTCAAAATTACTATGTTTACAAGTGGAATTTCAAAACTTATCATATATAATAAATGTTGTACACATGTCTACAGAAGTCTAAAAATTAATCTAAATACGTTGCACGTATAGAATTTTAGTAAGCACGTACATATGCATAAAATTTATGTACGTCTTTTTCAAATTTAATACCTTGAAGATAAAGTGTTACAGATGCTTGAAGTACGTAAACTCTATAAATGCATTAGTCATTAGTTTTATTTTTAGTCTCAAATCATAGAATTTTCTTATTTCTCTCTCCTTCATGTCTTCTCACTTGAAAGGAGCTAGTGAAAAACTTCTGATATTAAAATTTTCATATGTTATTTATTATTTTTTGTATTTAATTAATTATTAATTTATATTTCAATTAGGCCTTAAGGGATTAATAAACTATTATTTTATGCATTTAGCAAGATTATTAATTAAGTAGTTATATTTGTACCACAAAAATTCATAGATGTCCCTATTAGTTAATGCTCATCTAATAAAAATTTGTTTTCATAATACCCAATTTAAACCTTCATACCCCCACCTAATTTTTAATCTTGATTTGATTTATAAAATAATATAATCCCTTTCAACGAATAATATTATATTTTCTTTTTTTAAAATTAATGCAATTCTCTTCATCTTTATTTATTAATTGTGTTTGTCTTACCTCTTCCTCCTTTTTCCTCTTTGAACAAGGAAGCACAAAAACAACTTTTCAGATTTGATTCTCACAAACCTTCTCCTTTGATTGCTTTGACTAATTATATTTCTAATAGGCAAAACTAATGAAGATTTGTTATTTGTTTCTTGTTTTCAGATTGATTTTGGTTTAGTATAAAAATAAAAATAAAACTTTCTTATTATACTTAATCTGGGTGCGTGCTCTTTTATTTATTCTTAAAGAATTATTATTTCCATTTATAATTAACGTGGGGTATAGTAATGAGTTTCAATGCAATTTTAATGCATGACAAAATTGTAATAAAAAAAATTATGTATAGTGGGGGCATTAATGAATTTGGTGGGTGTAAATATAATTACTCATATTTATTTAGTTCATTGACTTAAGTTAGGACTGAAAATTTTATTATTTAATTAAGATATTATTAATTTATCGTAAATTCATTTATTGATATTTTACTGCTAAGCGAAAATATGATTGTGCTAGTACGTGTGATTTTTATTGAAGTTATTTATAGAAATGAAAAGAAGCTATTTGAGAAAGCTCCTCATTTAACAATAGATTCTAGATTAATTAAAGCTATAATTGTCCTAAAAATCTCAATGGTCTTGTATCTGTTTCTAAGATTATTGGTTTGGAGTAGTAAATACTTATAATTTATGTCATCGTAAACAGCCCTACTCCTTCACACATTTGGAAGGGAGATTCGTGCCATGATTCGAATCATGGTTCGTGACTCGTTGCAGTATTTTCTCTCACAAAAAATACACGTAAAACGAGAATAATTCTGAATCATAATTCTAAATCCATAAACCAAACATCTTCAGAACGAGCTCTATCTTGTATTGCACACTTCCCCTTGGTGGAAGGGTCTTCAGCAGCTTGTCGGGCATAACATCTCCAAACTTCTTCAATACGACTTTGATGGGAGGTGGAATCGGCTCTCTGCCTCCTTTTTTTAATATGTCAGTGATAGTTATGTATGTTGGCTTCTGACGCTTGACATCTTTCTTAAATTGCATAGCGAAAACAATCCAACTCCTCACCGTTACACCACCTAAGGGCATTTAGTTTACTGATTTAAATTTTCAATTCAAGTTGAGATGCGAATTTATGTGAGAGTTTTTTTACTGTAACAAAAAAGTTAAATGTGACTGTTTCTGAGAGCTTTTTACTATAGCAAAACTCGAATCGGTAAAATAAACGGGCCTAAAATTGTGATATAGTTGTGAGGACGTCTTTGTTAGAACTCCTCTTTCAATCCTTGAAACTCCGAGCCATAAGTTATGGAAGGTAGAGGAACGCTGGTTGGATGGACGGATGGGATCTAATCCAGGTCCTTTCCATTTCTCAATGATTCTATAATGACCAAACTTTCCGTGATGTTACTTACTATGACTTAATTTTAAAAATTCTATAAAATCATTTTAAAAATAAACTTGAGTACCGAAATTTGCATAAAGTATTTTTAAAAGAACTATAAACTTTAAAACTAAGGTTTTAAAACTTAGCACATTATTCATGCATACATACTGGATACTAGCTTTTTGTAGCACTTATATTACAAATATAAATACCTTAGTTTGAAATTAAACATAACAAGACACTAATATCATAGCTTGCATCGATCCACGATAATATATTAATCATAAGTTTACTATTTCAAAATATTCTAAAAGCGTGCGTGGAAGACTTTGTTACATCCTTTATCCATCTGCTAGTCCATCAAATTCACTGCGTTGTAGATTTCTTACCTGAACAAACTTAATAACTGATAGCTCAATCATATAAAAATGCATGTCATCTTATGCTCAATTATGAAAGCATGTTTTATTTTTGTTAGCCTTGTGCTCTTCCTACGACTAATGAGGTGACGTGGGAGCCACCCAAATAATTATTCTGACAATACCTAAGGTTCATAATTATTAATTCATTACTGTCATAATCTCCTATTTGAGTTTGAGGATAATTAACCTCCCATTTCGTCTAGAGATTTGGTACGACACCTTATTTATTACTTAATCTTTTTTATCTTAGCCTCTTATTAAAGGTGAACATGCGAATGTGATCATGTCACGCAGGCTTATAATGCATAAAACTTTAAGAGGCAAACATATGATGATATACTCTTCATCACTAATTATGGAAAAGTTATGTACGCAAGCAACAATTCACAAACATAACATGTCATTTTAAAATCACATTCATATTGTAGGTGAGGTTTGTACTGTGATGATCCAAACTAAGTGGTCGTCACTTAAACTCACTAAACATGTAATTACTTAAAATACTTGAATTAATTAAATTGATTTTTTGTGAATTTTTTTATATTATATATAACAAGGAAAATAAACTTAACTTTAAATTAAATTAAGCAAAGCACGGTGTCGGTGTAGTTTTTCCTAAATTAAAATAGTGTTTTGTGCATAATAAGGTATATAAAATTAGCTTATGTATTACTATTTAAACTTAAATTCACACCGAACATAAAGCTCTTTTGTAGGAAATAACTCTAAATTTAATTAGGTTTCGATAGGAATAGGAACGAGTAAAAGCATAGTAAAGCCGGATTATAAACGTTGCAGTAGTACTAGAAGTAAGTTCCATATGATGAGAGTTGCATCAACGACATCCATGAATCAATGTATATCCATAAATTTGAAATACGATTTTGTAAGCTTTTTGCATACAATTTTCTTTTAATGAGATTCTTTTCTCTTAAAAAATGTAACGAATTGGTCGGTATAATCAACTGATCACGATAGGTCAATTTTTCAGATG